CACCAGTACCAGGTATTCCCACACCTGTCCACCACCAGTACCAGGTATCCCCACACCTGTCCACCACCACCAGTACCAGGTATCCCCACACCTGTCCACCACCACCAGTACCAGGTATCTCCACACCTGTCCACACCACCAGTACCAGGTATCTCCACACCTGTCCACCACCACCAGTACCAGGTATCCCCACACCTGTCCACCCACCAGTACCAGGTATCCCCACACCTGTCCACCACCACCAGTACCAGGTATCTCCACACCTGTCCACCACCACCAGTACCAGGTATCTCCACACCTGTCCACCACCACCAGTACCAGGTATCTCCACACCTGTCCACCTCCAGTCCCAGGTATCCCCACACCTGTCCACCACCACCAGTACCAGGTATCCCACACACCTGTCCACCACCACCAGTACCAGGTATCTCCACACACCTGTCCACCACCAGTACCAGGTATCCCCACACCTGTCCACCACCACCAGTACCAGGTATCCCCACACCGTCCACCACCACCAGTACCAGGTATCTCCACACCTGTCCACCTCCAGTACCAGGTATCCCCACACCTGTCCACCACCAGTACCAGGTATCCCCACACCTGTCCACCACCACCAGTACCAGGTATCTCCACACCTGTCCACCACCAGTACCAGGTATCCCCACACCTGTCCACCACCAGTACCAGGTATCTCCACACCTGTCCACCACCAGTACCAGGTATCCCCACACCTGTCCACCACCAGTACCAGGTATCCCCACACCTGTCCACCACCAGTACCAGGTATCTCCACACCTGTCACCACCAGTACCAGGTATCTCCACACCTGTCCACCTCCAGTCCAGGTATCCCACACCTGTCCACCACCAGTACCAGGCATCTCCACACCTGTCACCACCAGTACAGGTATCTCCACACACCTGTCCACCTCCAGTACCAGGTATCCCCACACCTGTCCACCACCAGTACCAGGCATCTCCACACCTGTCCACCCACCAGTACCAGGTATCCCCACACCTGTCCACCACCAGTACCAGGTATCCCCCACACCTGTCCACCACCAGTACCAGGCATCTCCACACCCACCACCAGTACCAGGTATCTCCACACCTGTCCACCTCCAGTACCAGGTGTATCCCACACCTGTCCACCTCCAGTACCAGGTATCTCCACACCTGTCCACCACCACCAGTACCAGGTATCTCCACACCTGTCCACCACCAGTACCAGGTATCCCCACACCTGTCCACCACCAGTACCAGGTATCTCCACACCTGTCCACCTCCAGTACCAGGTATCTCCACACCTGTCCACCACCAGTACCAGGTATCCCCACACCTGTCCACCACCAGTACAGGTATCCCACACCTGTCCACCACCAGTACCAGGTATCCTCACACCTGTCCACCACCACCAGTACCAGGTATCTCCACACCTGTCCACCACCAGTACCAGGTATCCTCCCACCTGATCAGTACAGGTGGTGAGGTCATCAGTAGTGTGAAGTGGGTTAGTTCGGAGGTCGTGACCCAGGTGCACAACGGTCACTGTTGACATCACGATCTACACTATAAACACCTTCCCTATTAGGCTCACCTGTTACCCTCACCATCACCTGTTCCTCCCTCACCATCACCTGTTCTCCCTCACCATCACCTGTTCTCCTCACCATCACCTGTTCTCTCATCATCACCTGTTCTCCTCACCATCACCTGTTACCCCTCACCATCACCTGTTCTCCCTCACCATACCTGTTCCCCTCACCATCACCTGTTACCCCTCACCATCACCTGTTCCCTCCTCACCATCACCTGTTCTCCCTCACCATCACCTGTTCTCCCTCACCATAACCTGTTCTCCCTCACCATCACCTGTTCTCCCTCACCTGTTCTCTCCTCACCTGTTCTCCCTCACCTTTTCTCCCTCACCCTCCCTCACCTGTTCTCCCTCACCTGTTCTCCCTCACCTGTTCTCCCTCACCTGTTCTCCCTCACCTGTTCTCCCTCACCTGTTCTTCGTCTTGGTTTATTTATACACAACAAAGTCCAACTTCCTGCTCTCTTATGTATGTATGTATGTATGTATGTATGTATGTATGTATGTATGTATGTATGGGCTTCGATAAGATGAAAAAACACCTGACAAAAAATTATCTACCACCACCACCATCATCACCACCACCACCACCACCACCACCACCACCACCACCACCACACCACCACCACCAGAGGGATGTTATGGTGTCCGGATGTCCTGGCTAAAATATTCCTCAAAATAGACAGACAGACAGACAGACAGACAGACAGCAACCCGTGTACGTCACCCTCGCCTCACCAGTCACGGTCTAGTTAACGTCCGTGTCATTACCGTCCTTGGTGTCTACACGTGTACATGACTGTGTATAGATAGCGTATACATAACAGTGTGTATAGATATATACAGCATAGTGATGTATACAGAACAAAAAATATGAACAAGAAAAAATTTGAACAGAATTAAATTGAAAGTCAGATTAATCCAGAGATATATAGTGAACCTTTTGACTCTCCTTACTTCACATGGTAGTTTACCCAAAGGTCAGACGCAATAAATAACTGGTACACACACACACACACACACACACACACACAACACACACACAGACACACACACACACACACCAGGACCAGAAATATAGCAAGATCCAATATCAAAAACCTGGTCTGATTTACATGTTCACTCCTGAAGTTCACTTCCTCCCTGACGTTCACTTCCTCCGCTTCACTTCCCTCCTGACGTTCACTTCCTCCTGACGTTCCCCTCTGACGTTCTTCCCTCTGACGTTCCCTCGACGTTTACTCTCCTCCTGACGTTCACTCCCTCCTGACGTTCACTTCCCTCCTGACGTTCACTCTCCTGACGTTCACTCCCCACGACGTTCACTTCCTCCTGACGTTCACTCCCTCCTGACGTTCACTTCCTCCTGACGTTCACTTCCTCCTGACGTTCACTTCCCTCCTGACGTTCACTTCCCTCTGACGTTCACTTCCTCCTGACGTTCACTCCCTTGACGTTCACTCTCCTGACGTTCACTTCCTCCTGACGTTCCCTTGACGTTCCTCTCCTGACGTTCACTTCCCTCCTGACGTTCACTTCCCCTGACGTTCACTTCCCTCCTGACGTTCACTTCCCTCCAGTCTCACTCTCTGGATGATGTACCGCAGCAATATATCACCCCCGTTGACCCCCAAACAGCACACGGGGGTAAATTTCACGTTACAATATTCTGGAAAACTTTTACGAATGTTTGACTGAATGTTGATGTGTAGTGGTGGTGGTGAATGTTGTATGGTGATGTGTAGTGGTGGTGGTGAATGTTGTATGGTGATGTGTAGTGGTGGTGAATGTTGTATGGTGTGTAGTGGTGGTGAATGTTGTATGGTGATGTGTAGTGGTGGTGAATGTTGTATGGTGATGTGTAGTGGTGGTGAATGTTGTATGGTGATGTGTAGTGGTGGTGAATGTTGTATGGTGATGTGTAGTGGTGGTGAATGTTGTATGGTGATGTGTAGTGGTGGTGAATATTGTATGGTGATGTGTAGTGGTGGTGAATGTTGTATTTTATAATGAATGACGATATATGGTGATACACTATACATAAAGACTCCTCACCATACACCTTAGCCCTCACACCTGTACTAATGACCGTACCGCTGTCTTGATTACAGGTGAGCAGCAGACACTAGCAATAGGAATATTTTCTTGTTAAAAATAAATAACAGAAATGTGTAAAGGTGTGTTATGATGGGCGGTGTGTTGCGAGTGGGAACAGCCAGTCAGCCAGCCAGCCAGTAAGCCAGTAAGCCAGTAAGCCAGTCAGACAGTCAGATTTCTTGTGTTGGCGATCCGTAAAATTTGCAAATTTTTAACAGTGAGAAAATTGTATTATTTCTTATTCTTCAGGAAGGGTGGTGGAGGGAGGGAGGGAGGGATGAGGGAGGGAAGGGAGAGGGAAGGAGGGATGAAGGAGGAAGGAAGGGAGTGTTGCAGACAGTATTAGTGTTGGGGCCCCTCACTAGGCGTCTCACGTATACTGTTAATGCATTAGTCGTGTATTGTTAGTTAGAGGGTGTACCATACTTGTGCCTTAATCACCCTCCTCTCTCTCCCTACCTCCCTCACTCATCCTCTCTCTCCTTCCTCTACCCCTTCTTCTCCTCTTCCTTCCCTCCCTCCTTCTCTCCTCCACCACACATAACCACTTGCTGTACCATCAAACAGTTCTTTTATTTACACTCGCCCGTTCCCCGTCACTGGCTGGGCGGTAACTCTGCCTCGTTATCTACACAGACAGGCAGTTGTCCCTCTCCTCCACATATAAACAAGGCTACAAGGCTATCACATGCAGGTACTGGACGGCGGTACTAGACGGCGGTACTAGGCGGCGGTACTAGGGGCGGTACTAGGACTCATTTTACCTCTTCAGTCCGCACAGTCATACTCTCATGTACTGTACAGGCTGGGTGTAGGGCAGAGGCTGGGTGTAGGGAGAGGCTGGGTGTAAGGGAGAGGCTGGGTGTAGGGCAGAGGCTGTGTAGGGCAGAGGCTGGGTGTAGGGAGAGGCTGGGTGTAGGGGCAGAGGCTGGGTGTAGGAGAGGCTGGGTGTAGGGGAGAGGCGGTGTGGGGAGAGGCTGGGTGTAGGGCAGAGGTTGTAGCAGAAGTTGGTGTGGGGGAGAGGCTGGGTGTAGAGAGGCGGGTGTAGGCAGAGGCTGCGTAGGCAGAGGCTGTGTAGGGAGAGGCTGTGTAGGGCAGAGGCTGGGTAGGGCAGAGGCTGGGTGTAGAGGCTGGGTGTAAGGGAGAGGCTGGGTGTAGGGGAGATAGAAAGCTTTGGTCTGCGCTTACCAACACACACACACAGGGATACAGTTTTGACGATCTGGCTGGGACATAACAGGAGCCGGTCAGCACCGCTAAAACAACACTATAACATGTACAACAACAACAACAATAGTACTCACTACTCCATGACCAGTACCAGTTCACTCTCGGTACTGAACACGTCTCGTAGCTGTATCGTCCTGTGGGCTGGCCTCAACATGGCACACACCGCCACCTCGTGAAGGATGTCCGAGGTACAGTCAGCTCCCAGACGCAAGCGAGAGGAGAACTTGGCGGCGTATTCCTCCCCCGTAACTCTGTGTTGGCAGTGGTAGACCACGGCGAACTGTCCCCTGTGGTGGAGGAGGACATCTGAGTACATCTTATAGTAGTACATCTTATAGTAGTACGTCTTATAGTAGTACAGTGTAGAGTAGTATACATTAGTTCAGTGTAAATAACCTGTTAAATATTAGCGTTGTATGTCAGGAAGTGCTGCACCTGTGGGAGTAAAGTACTGTACCTGTGACGAGTAGTATTGTACATATTAACATACATCGGGTTACACCTTAGTACTGTGCTGTGACTGGGAGGGCCACCAGGAGGGAGGGCCACCAGGAGGGAGGGCCACAAGGGGAGAGGGCCACCAGGGAGAGAGGGCCACAAGGAGGGAGGCCACCAGGAGGGAGGGCCACCAGGAGGAGGGCCACCAGGAGGAGGGGCCACCAGGGAGGGAGGGCCACCACAGGAGGGAGTGGGCCACCAGGAGAGGCCACAAGGAGGGAGGGCCACCAGGAGTGGAGGGGCCACCAGGAGGGAGGGCCATCAGGCAGTGCAGGAAGGAGGGCCACCAGGAAGGAGGGCCACCAGGCAGGAAGGAGGGCCATCAGGCAGGAGAAGGGCCACCCCACCAGACAGCAGGAAGGAGGGCCACCAGGAAGGAGGGCCACCAGACAGCAGGAGGAAGGGCCACCCCACCAGACAGCAGGAGGAAGGGCCACCCCACCAGGCAGCAGGAGGGAGGGCCAGGGCCAGCTCGTCTTGACTGACTTATGGCTCCCCTAGCCGGCGGTGCCAACATTATTAATTGAACGTTTATAGCGGCTCGTTCATCAGGGGCGCTGGCCACTTGTCACAACACACTAACACGCTGCTGGGGGGATGGGGGCGGAGGAGGTAGTGTGTCGTAGGGCGTGAGCAATTTGTGGTACGTGTACAAGGAGGTATGTACACACGGCACTTGTTATCGCCTCACGGAACACAATAATTACATCGTTGTTTTAAGTCATTTGTGTTGCTGTAGTAGAGTTGCAGCTTCATTACAGGTGTTGCATGGGTCGAGTGGGGCTGTTTACCTTGTATTAATTGAAGAACAGGTGTTACAAGGTGTGGTGAAGGTCGAATGTGTTTACCTTGGTGTGATAAATGGGGCAGGTGTTTAGCTTTATGTTCTGACCCACACTGACAGACATATTCTCGTTTAACTTTATCTGTCAATCATATCTCCAGGTTGGGTTGGGTTGGGTTGGGTTGGGCTATTTCTCTTGGTTCTAATATTGTTAATGGCTATAGTATTTCCACGCTAAGCTGGCCCATAAGCCCCGCCCCTCGTCTATAGCTACAAACAGCTGATTGGTTCCCCTGAGAGTCTTACCCCCCCCCCCCTCCCAGGACTGCATGTTTATAAGCCCTTATTTATATCAACCTCTTATGATAAATATTTAACATTTTCTAGCATCCTCTCTGAAGTGCTAATGCCTTGAAATCATTTGCATTTTGATAGTTCAGATAATAACAGGTCTGATTACCTATTGTGAACCCATTTAATTTGAATCAACCAGGTATTAGTATAGAAGAGGGGCGTGGCTTACGGGGCAAGTTAGCGTGGACAGAGTATAGTGTCTTAACTAACCTATGAACTACGAGGTTAAAGTGTATTAACCTCAGTGACACACCAGGGAGAGTCTAGTGATCCTCTCTGCTCACATATCTCTCCCCGTCATCGTCATCTTCTCACCCGCCGTAAAAGTACCGGACACGTCGTTGACTCACTAATAAATCGTCAATCTATTGAAATGAAGTTGAAGAGCTAATTATTATTCCCTGGCACAACTGAGATACTTTTCCGCCCGCCAGTGTATCAACCTTATCGCTGTGGGGGAGGTGTGGCTGTTGGTGTGGCTGTTGGTGTGGCTGTAGGTGTGGCTGTTGGTGTGGCTGTAGGTGTGGCTGTATGTGTGGCTGTTGGTGTGGCTGTTCCCCCCAGGCAGGCGAGCGGCAGGCCACCCCTACAAGGCACGTTGACCATATCCGCCTCTACCGGCGTTATCCATGGAAATATCAATTAAAGCCATTTTCTCTATAAGGTTACCGGGAACCAATCACCGCCGCCATCAGTAACTGGCTGCCTCTAATTGGGTGATTCGCGTCTAATCCCAAGAAACGTTCACCCCGACACTGCAAGTCGGGGAGGAGGCTGAGGTAGGGGCATCTGTTGTCTTCCTTGTGGCCGTCCCAGAGTGCCCCCCCCTTCACCCCCTCCCCACTCCCCTACCCCTTCACCCCCTCCCAACTCCTCCCACCCCTTCACCCACTCCCCACTCCTCCCACCCCTTCACCCCCTCCCCACTCCTCCCACCCCTTCACCCACTCTTTGTAGCGAAGTGACATCGTGAAGCTTTCGAAAACTATGACAATGTACCGTGTGTCAGTGTACCGTGTGTCAGTGTACCGTGTGTAAGTGTACCGTGTGTCAGTGTACCGTGTGTCAGTGTACCGTGTGTCAGTGTACCGTGTGACTTTGTACCGCGACAGTGTACCGTACACTCGTCACACCAGTACAAAACAACGTACTATCTACTCAGGGTACGGGACTGGACATATGGTTAACATACATCAACTTGGGCGAAATAAATAACAATATTTACTTGGGTGTTGTGTTACCTTGAGTTCAGGTAAATGTTGCGTTAATGAGTCTCTGTGAGTCTCTACAGGTAGGCTACTGAAGGTGGAGGAGGAGGTCGACGCACTAGCCAGGTGAAGGTGGTGGTATAGGAAATGTGGTATAGGTGAGGTAGGTGGCGTAGGTGGTGGTGTAGGTGGGGCATCTTTAGTCATCTTTACTCATAAATATCTACTCATATTTACTCATATTCCTAAACACTAGACCTCTAAGGACAGTTACTCACACGAGGAAACTCCTACCCAAGCAGAGAGTTTGTTTCTACACCTAAATATGTGGTAAATATATGTGTGTACAGAGTAAGGTCAGGTGTGTTGGTGATATATCTGACCTTAACACACACACACACACACACACACACACACACACACACACACACACACAGAACACTCTTCTCTACCTGAAAGTACCTGAAGATTAGGGGAGGGTAGGGGAGGGTAGGGGAGGGTAGGGGAGGGTAGGGGAGGGGTAGTAACACACCCACTCAGCAGGATCCGAACCCCACACTGCCCAAATGGTTAACGAGGGCGCCAGCAAGTGTACCACGAGACGCTAGGAGTCATTTGAATCCGATCCATCATACTCGGGGTCTTGGTGGTCTGGGTTCGAATCCTCTTGACGGGTTTGATTGGGTTCATGGATGTGTGTGTGGATGTCTGACTGGAGGTGTTATTTTCTAAGTTTTAGGTTCATAATATTAGGGAGTGTCAGCCAGTCAGAGTCTCATCCATCCAGAGTGTCAGATAGGCAAAGTATCGGTCAATCAAAGTGTCAGCCAGTCAAGATGTCAGTCAATGTAAGTGACAACCAACCAAAGTGTCACCTAATCAAAGTGTCAGCTAACCAGAGTGTCAGTCAGTCAACCAGTCATCCATCCAGTCTAAGTATCAGCCAGTCAGAAGTGTCAGTCAGTGTGCCATTAAGGGTCACATCTCACCTTAATGACAACCACAGGTAAAGAATATCACCTTGGAGTCTTTTTACAGGTAACACTATCAACCCAACCCGCATATAAGAGACACATCGAGACAACTGGTGCGTCGGCAGATCTATATATGTTAGGGGTTCATAAATTGAGTATTCACGTCTTCTCGATCTGTTTACAATAATTTCAATGTATTTCTTTCCTTCTGTTTACCTTTTATTTCGTGTTGTCTACAGTAGTCATGACCTCTTGTGTTGTTTGCATTTCACTATTCATGTCCAGCTCGATAGTCGTCTAACCCTTTAAGGAAGAGGATCTAACCCTTTAAGGAGGATCTAACCCTTTAAGGAGGATCTAACCCTTTAAGGAGGATCTAACCCTTTAAGGAGGATCTAACCCTTTAAGGAATACCATTTAACCCTTTAATGACGACTACATCTAACCCTTTAAGGACGACCATCTAACTCTCGTATCCAAAGGGTTAGATGCCAGTCACCGTTTATGTTAATTAATGCCGTGTTACCTGGCTGGTTCACCTGATGCTGTGTTGAGTGATGTGAGAAGCTGTGTAAGGTGCTGTAATGTGCTGTGGGGAGAGTGTGGCATATTGCTGGGTGCTGTAAGGTACTGAAGGATGCTGTGGAGTGCTGTAAACTGCTGTAAGATACTGAAGGATGCTATGGAGTGCTGTAAACTGCTGTAAGATACTGAAGGGTGCTGTGGAGTGCTGTAGGGGCACACATCAGGGGTAGGTTGGGGTCTGCTGCCCCGACTTGCTGCCCTGACCTACCCCCGATGTGTGCCCCACACATCAGGGGTAGGTCGGGGCAGCATGTCGGGTTAGCAAGTCGGGACAGCAGGTCGGTGCAGCAAGTCAGGACAGTAGGCCGGGAGAGCAGGTCGGTGCAGCAAGTCGGGGCAACAGGCCGGGGCAACAGGTCGGAGCAACAGGTCGGAGAAGCAGGTCGGGGCAACAGGTCGGAGCAACAGGTCGGGGCAGCAGGTCGGGGCAACAGGTCGGGGCAGCAGGCCGGAGTAGAGAGAAGCCACCCAACGTCTCCCACACATATATGGTAGGTTATGCAAGGCTCTTGTGTGAGTAGCGCCGCCTTTGCTGCCGTAGCACTCTTTTAAACTAACAGTGTGTGTGTGTGTGTGTGTGTGTGTGAGGTAGGACACGTTAAGTCTTACCTGTCCAGCCTGTGTGGTTGCTATACCTTAAATGGTAAAAATATTAGATTTTGCTTCGTCAGGGTAGTGTACTATCTTCCTGACCTCACCAGTCATAGTCAGCTACCGCAGACCGTCAGCATCAATGTCAGCAGTGTCAATGTCAGCCTCATCATCATTATCATCGTATTCATCATTATCATCATCATCTTTATTAAAATCATCATCATCATCATCATCATCTTTGTGCTGACGAGGCGATGGTGAGTCACAGGAGAGGTGTGGTGACGATGAAT